AAAGATAACAAAACAATTTGCTCGTCAAAACAGTCTACATCAAATATATCGACCAAAAAAATCTTATATTCAACAACGTTTAGCCACAATTGCTAAACAAAAAGAACGAATAGCCAAGGAATTACAAGAACATTTAGCAAAATTATTAAATTATGTACAACATTGGCAGCCACCGATCGATGAATATCTATTAACAAATGCCATTGATCAATGTGTTATACATGGTCAAAAACGATTAAAAGAAGAATTTCAATATAAAAAAGAAATACTAAAATTAGATTGGAATGATCATCAATTACTTAAAAAATTTTATGAATTAAAACCGAATGAAGAACTTATTCAATTAGCACAACATTTATGGGAAATAACTGCTGACGAACAGAAAACAAAAGAACAACAACAAATACTCGAACAACGTATCTATTTAAAACGATTACCACCAAAAATAGATCAAATGGTAGACCAATTACTTGATGATAATCGAACAATACTTTATAATCCTTTTCTTGATCCAGATCAACGTGCTAATTTTGCATCACGTTGTTCAAAAATTATCATACAAAGTAAATTTCTTTTAATGACGACATTATTAGATGACTTTGCAATTGTTACACATCGTTATAATTTAACATTAACTAATTTAAATGACAAATTATTCAGTCTGAATAAAGAGAATCCACATGTTTATACAAGTTCACTGTTAAATGTTATTGAAGAACGTCGACAAGCAATGATACAACGATTTATTCGAATATGTCAACATAAATTGAAGACTTTTTTCGACCAGGCTCCGACGGTAGACAACAATTAATTCAACAAAATTACCGTCGGAGCGAACCATTCATTTATACAACAATAAGTAGTTCATTACCATTTATTGAAAAACATATAGCTCTTGATTTTAATCTTATACAAATGTTAAACAATGCTCGTAAATATATTCCACCATGTCAAAGTCGATTTAATCATCAACCTATCAAGGATATTGCAAATACAGAATATGAAACTGTATTAAGTTCAGTTAAAAAATGTCTTGGTGAGAATCGAATGTCAATTACTGATCAACGTGCAACGGAATCATTTGCAGATTTAGAACGAATCATTCATGATTTATATTGCAAACGATTACCAGATAAATTATATCGACGTGCTCGACGTGAATATAAAAAAGTTAAACGTCTCCAAAAATTATTACATCGTCGTTCAGATATGATGATATGCCGAATTGATAAAGGTGAAGGTTTCTATATTGGTGATAAATCTATCATGGAACACAAAACTGTCGAATATATGAATAAAACTGAAGCTTATCAAGAACTTACTAGTGATTATTGTCCTCTGGCTGATATATTACATGCAACAACAAGTATTCTCGATTATTTCGTTAAGAAAAATGTCATTACAACAGCTAAACGTGATAAACTTTTACCGAATTTAGAAAAACGGGAACTACCTTATCTGTATCCATTACCAAAAATACATAAGGTAAAATTATATTTAGAGAATTCTTTTTTTTTTT